AGAGCGCCCAAGAGCGCTCCAAGAGCACCCAAAGAACGCTCAAAAAGGCGACTTGGGGGCCTGCCGAGGGGAGACGCTAATTAAGGGAGCCCCCTTCTTGGATCGATGTCATCCAAGATGGCCCCAAGAAGCGCCTAGGAGGCCCCAAGAGGCCACAAGATGGCCCCAAGGTGGCCCCAAGAGGCCCCCAAGAGGCCCCCAGGAGGCCCCCAAGAGGACCCCAAGCGGTCCCAAGAGGTCCCCCCGAGGCACCCAAGACGCCCAAGAGATCCCAAAGACGTCCCAAGAGGCCCCCTAGAAGCAAGCAACCGCCCAAGAGATATTCCAAGAGGCTCCGAGAGGCATCCAAGAGACCTCTGGTCCATTTGCTTGCCCTCCTCCTCCTGCTCCCCCTTCCTCCTCCTGCTCCTTCTCTTCCTCATCCTCCTCCTCCTCCTCCTCCTCCTCCTGCTCTTCCTCCTCCTCCTCCACCTCCTCCTCCTCATCCTATTCATCCTCCTTCTCCCCACCCCCTCATCCATCCGTCCAGCCTCCTCCTTTTCCTCCTTCCGCCTTCGCAAAGCTCGGCCGTCCCCCTCTTTGCTCCCGCATTTCCCTGATCACCTCAACTCGCCTGGACATCGTTTCTGGATAGGCTGGTGGGGATACTTCTTGGTCAACGGCCTCGTGAAGCGGGTCAAAAGGCGTCCAAACTCTAGCCAAATTGGTGGGGATACTTTTTGTCGCAGCCGCAAGCGAAGGCGCAGGCGGCGTCAAACGGGACGGGCGGGCTACGCGCGAACCTAGAATTTTGGCAGTAGGGATTATATTGTCCTTCGCGGAGAAGGAGCAGGGGGAGGGGGGGGGGGTCCAGGGTCGAGGATCACAGGATCGATCACCCGAGGGCCTCGGGGCACCGAGCGGGCCCCCAGGAGGCCGAGAGCACGGCAAACCTGCTCGAACGTCGAGTAGGGATTATATTGTCCTTCGCGGAGAAGGAGCAGGGGGAGGGGGGGGGGGTCCAGGGTCGAGGATCACAGGATCGATCACCCGAGGGCCTCGGGGCACCGAGCGGGCCCCCAGGAGGCCGAGAGCACGGCAAACCTGCTCGAACGTCGACGACGACAACGACGACGACGACGGCGACGCAAACGACGACGACGACGAAAACGACGTAAACGACGACGGCGACGAAGACGACGACGTCGACGACGGCGACGACGACAACGGCGACGGCGGCGGCGGCGGCGACGACGACGACGACGACGACGACGACGACGACGACAACGACGACGGCGGCGGCGACCACGACGACGACGGCAACAACGAGGGCGGCGGCAGCGGCGGCGACGACAAGGACAGAGCAGCACCTCGGCGTCGACGGCCACTGGCGTCCCAGGGATCGGGGACAGCGGCGTACCCAGGAAGCGCACCTGCTGGGCGCCGCCGCCAAGGGATCGGGGATCGGCAGACGAAAGTGCGGCGGTAACCCCCCAGGGATGAGAGGCAACGGTGGGGGGGGCTGGCTCAGGGAACGATCCCAGACCTCCAACGTATTACAAAAATCAAGACCCAAATTGTCGCTGTGTTCGGCCTCCACGTGCCCTTGACGGGCCCCAGGAGTGCCGAACAACAACTCGCGATAGTAAACTGACCCTGGAGGAACAACGGCATCGGATCTTTGGACCTGGCTCAGGGGGTGAAACGTCGACCTGGAATGGGCGATACATCGCCGATATATCGGCGAGAGGTCATCGATTGCGAATCCGCACGTTCCTGGGCGGGGTGGGCAATCAGACCCCTGCTGGCGACGAATGGGCGAGCGCGGGTCGACGCATCACCCCCTGAGCCGATTCCCCCAACATTGCAGGGCATCAGCGATGACTGTCGCAAGTTCTTGCTAGGCGATCGCGCCAGCGGAGGACTGACTGGCATTATGCAGCAGTCGATTGCCCCTGCGCATGCTGCTCGGCAGCACGAACTGCGGGGCCAAGACGTCACCTCGTTTGCTGCGTGCTCAGACTAGCTCACACTGAACTTGCTCGCCGAATATCTGTCGTTGTTCTGTATGTTCACTTGGCCAAGACATGTGACCGCGTAATTGGGCTGGAAAATGTTGGCTGGTGGGGGGGGTGCATGCCTGCAGATTCCCATCCGACATAACTGATTTTCCATCGGCAATCCGAACGGATTGGCCGACTGGAATGCAACGACCCTAGCCGAGAAAAGAAAGCTAATCCCACCAGCCTTTTGGCCGACAGGTGGTCGAACGAGGGTCTCTTTCCTCTTCAACAACCCCTCTTCCCCTCGGGGAGGGGAACCCCCCCTCCCCTCCCTGAGGTTTTTTTGGGAGGGGGACCGATGTTTCAGAGGGTTTTTTTTTTCGGACCCTGGGAGGGTCAACTTGTGACACTCTTCACGAGGATCGACTGTCTCCGAGGGGGGGGGGGGGGTGGGGGGGGGGGGGGGGGGGAGGGGGAGGGGGGGAGGGGGGGGGGGGGGGGGGGGGGGAAAATTCGAGCACCCACATTTTCGACCGACCGTCTCCCAAATGGCCCCAAGAGGCGCTCCAGGGTTCCCAAGAGGCCCCCAAGAGGGCTCCAGGAGCGCCCCAAGAGGCCCCAAAAGGGCTCCAAGACGAACCCGAATGGCACCCAAGAGGCCCCTGAGTGGCCTCAGAAAGCCCAAGCTAACCTCCAAGATGGCTCGGATAGCCCAAGCTGGCTCAAGGCGGTTCCCAAGATACTCCATGCGGCCCCAAGACCGTTCCAAGACGGCTCGAGATGGCCACGGAACCTCCCAAGCCTCCTTCACTGTTTGACTATGCGTGTCTATTCTTCTTTCCTCCTGTCAATTATCATGGGCATTTTTTCTGGATGGGCTGGTGGGGATACTTTTTTGTTCGCGAGCACGCAGGTGTGCCAGGCGCCGTCAGACCGAAGCAGCAAACCACGATCATTAAGCACCGAGCGCGCAGAAAGGACGGTGGGGATACTTTTTAATCATCGGCCGCAGGCGGGAGCGCCAGCGGCGAGTCCAGTCAGACCGGGCCGCGCAAAGACGAATTAACCTAGAGAGGTGGGCCGAAGCCTCACGCGGCACCTCGGCGGCCAGGCCGGCGACTGGAAGGGGGCTGACGGCAACTTCTGAGAAGCTGCACTGCCAGGGTGCACGCATGCAACGCGTTGCAAAGATGGGTTGGCTGCCGGGGTGGTCGGCGGCCAGGGTCTGCGAGCTGCGAGGTATTTAAATGCAGGGGCGTGGGCACCCATGGAACCGCGAAAGTACCAGGGTGGCCGAACCAGGGTGGCCGGAGCCAGGTGGGACTGCGGGGATACTTTTTGTCAGCGGCCGCAGGCGAGCGCGCCAGCGGCGAGTCCAATCAGAGCGGGGCGCGCACAGACGAATTAACCTAAAGCGGTGGGCCGGAGCATCACGCAGCACCTCAGCGGCGAGCCGTCGAATGGAAAGGGCAGGCGGTAGGCGGGTCACCAGCACTGCCAAAGTCGCGCGCAACTAGTCGGAGGCAGCGGGCGGCCAGGGTAACCGGCAACCAGGGAAGACGGTGGGGATACTTTTTCAATCAGCGGCCGCAGGCGAGCGCGCCAGCGGCGAGTCCAGTCAAAGCGGGGCACGCACCGACAAATTCACCCAAAGCAACGGGGCGCAGCCTCACCTAAAGCGGCTACGCGGAGCCTCACCCAGCAGCTCAGCGGCGAACCGGCGAGCGGAGGGGGCTGCCTGGAACTGGGTAGTACTGCCAGCGTGCGGGTATGCAAGGCGTCGGAAGCGTCAGGTAGTCGACGGTGGGGATACTTTTTGGTCAGCGGCCGCGGGCGAGCGCGCCGGCGGCGAGTCCAGTCAAAGCGGGGCACGCAGCGACGAATTTAACTAAAGCAACGGAGGGCGGCCACACCTAAAGCGGCTAACCGGGGCCTCACGCACCAGCTCAGCGGCGGACCGGCGAGTGGTGGGGGCAGCTGAAACTGAGTCAGACTGCCAGCGTGCAGGTATGCATGGCGTCGGAAGCACCAGGAAGTCAGGACAAACGACGACCCGGGTCAGAAGCCGAGGGATTAATGCAAGGGCGCGAACCCCGGACAACTACGTGAGTACCAGGGTGGCCGCAGCCAGAAAGACCGTCGGTCAAGGTCGACTTGATGCCGAAAATAGCGAGAGCGTTGGCAGGCTGCGAGAATCCAGGGTGGCCGAAGCCGCACAGTCCCATGGCAGCAGAGACGGTGGAGATACTTTTAGGCAGCGGCCGCGGGCGAGCGCGCCGGCGGCGAGTCCAGTCAAAGCGGGGCACGCAGCGACGAATTAAACTAAAGCAGCGGAGGGCGGCCACACCTACAGCGGCTAACCGGGGCCTCACGCAGCAGCTCAGCGGCGGACCGGCGAGTGGAGGGGGCAGCTGAAACGGAGTCGTACTGCCAGCGTGCAAGCGAAGCGTCAAGAATCCGCCGACCCTGTCGACGTGTGGAAGAGGCTGTTCCGTTTGACTCGTCGTCGGGCCTCCTCGAGCGCGCCAGCCACAGCGAAATTCAGCAACATTGTATTAGAGTCGAACGGAAGCCCCTTCCCTCTGATCCCTTCCCCGCTGGAGGGGGGGGTCCCAGGGGTGGGGTCCCTGTGGGGGTCCCAAGGGGGTCCCGGGGGGGTCCCAGGGGGTCCCGGGGCAGATACGACTCCCCCACTCCCCGCCACTCCCGTTTCCCTCCCTCTCCTGACTCTCCTTTTCCTCTCTCGGCCACGGACGCGCTGCCCAAAAAACAATTGGTCGTCCATCGTCGTCGTGAGCGTCGGAGTGGTCTGTTGTCGTCATGGTGGTCGTCGTCATCGTCACGTCGTCCATGTCCACCATCAGCCTTTCCAGGGAACCACCCCGGACAAGAGTATGTGTGCACCCTCCCCCTTGTTTTCCTCAATCTCGTGAGCCTCCCCATTCTCGCCCTCCTCCTCCTCCGCCTCCTACTCCCGCTCCTCCTCGGCCACGGGCTCCTCCCTGTCATCCCCTTCCTCTTCCCCCTCATTACCATCATCCTCACCTTCCTACTCCTCCTCCAACTTCTCCTGCCGCCGGTTTTACACACACACCCCTCCCTCAACGACATCATCATCGTGATCATCACCGACATCATCACCGACATCATCCGCGTCGTCGTCATCATCGTCAACATCCTCGTCATTGCTTTCCTCCACTGTCTCCCGCTGCTCATGCTCGCCACGCTCTACCCATCGCTGCCCCTCCTCCTTGTCAGCAGTCCGTCTCATGCAAATGCGTGTCCGCTCGCCTCGCTCTCCCCCCTGCTCTCCCCCCTCCTCGTCTTCCCCTCCTCGTCCCTCTCCGCCCCCTCCTCGTCCTGCTCCTCCCCCCTCGCACATTCTCCTCCTCCTCCTCGCCCCTCCTGCTCCCTAGCGTCCTCCGCCACCTGCTCCTCAACATCCTCGTCGTCCTCGTCGTCCTCGTCGTCGCCGTCTTCAGGGTCGGCGGCACTGGCCGTAAGGACTTCGCAATAGAGCAGTGAGACATGGACGGTGCAGCTAATGGAATGATTCGCTCGATGAACGATGGTGTGCGGGTCGCCGTCTCGGAACTGCCTGGGCGCGTCACGAGTAAAACATTCAGCCAGTAAGCATCGCAGCAATTCTCGAGCCAGATCGATATGTAGTGGCACCGGGCCCCGAAACGGGGCGAAAACGACAGGTGTGGAAAATTGCAACGCCCGAATCTCAGGTTCGATGGCAACTCATGAGAGCCTCCCATACCATCTTGCTGGCTACTGCGAATCGACGCTACTCGACGCTAGTCGACACTAATCGACGCTGAATCGATGCTCAGCGACGGTAAGCGACGCTAAGCGAAGCTAAATCAACGCTGTCTAATCGGTTACCAGACGCCAATCAACGCTGATGCACTCTACAAACGGAAATGCGAGGGCACACAATGCTCCCATGATTTGCCACCAAACTCAGGTGCTGCCAGTGCCAGCGCCAGCGCCGCCGCCCGCCACAGGTGACGAGCGAACAACACACACACACACACACAAACACACTTTTGAAATGCGGGGCGGGAGCGAACCTCTTCCGCTAAAAGCTAGGCGGGCTACGCACAGCTTCAATTAAGGAGACAAGGCACAGGAAGGCGGGGCCTCAACAACACACACACACACACCCATACCCATAGGGGGGGTGTAAGGGCTACCGGTGCGTGTTGTCGGATGGGGGTCCCCGCTCGAACGGGGGCCTCTCCCGCGGTCCGTCAAGCCCGCACCCCTACCCATGGCCAGGCCTCCCCCGCTGACCGCCCCATGGGTATGGGTGTGTGTGTGCTGTTCGTTCGTCAAGGATCGCTCGCCTCTCTCAAAATCAGCTTGGCGTCGCGGCCGCGCGGCGCACGGCGGCACCGAGGAGAGGGCCCGAGGGCGCGGGGCCTGCGAAGAGAACGCGCGGGGCCCCTACGCGGCAGTCGGGGCGGGGGAGGGCGCAGGGAGCACCAACGGATGGCCGCGCTGCGCGGGGACCCGCGGAAGGAGCGCCCGCGAAGAGGGAGCGGACGGGGGTGGAGGGGGTCCTGCAAAAGGCCTCTCGCTCGCTTTCCCTCTCTCGCTCTCTCTCCCTCTCGCTCTCTCTCTCTCTCTCTCTCTCGCTCTCTCACGACTTCAGCCATCGGTCTCTAATTACTGAGTGCCTGCGTCCCTCGCCGACGTCTCTCTCTCTCTCTCCCCCTCTCCGAACTTCAGCATCTGTCTCTGCCGAGTGTCTGCTTCCCTCGAGTGCGTCTCTCTCTCTCTCTCTGTCTCTCGATGTCAGCCATCGGTTCGGTCTTTGCTGAGTGTCTTCTTCCCTCGAGAACGTCTTCGGCCTGTCAAACCCGCTGGTGTTCCCGCTGCAGCGCTGGCGTATATTTCTCGATCGGTGTTCGGCCCCCGTCGCTCGGCGGAGCCCCCCCCCGTCCGAGCACGGGCAGCGAGCTACACTTCTGGATGTCCGCTGCCCTCGTCGGCGTGGCCGCCAGGTCCCCACCCCTCCTTTTCCCCTCCTCCTCCTCCTCCTCCTCCTCCTCCTCCTCCTCCTCCTCCTCCTCCTCCTCCTCTTCCTCCTCCTCCTCCTCATCCTCCTTCGCCTTCTGGTCAGCCGCCTCTTCCCAGCCCTGTGCAAGAGCTCCCCGCGCCGATTGCGCAGCAAGGGGCAAGTAGGACCTGAGGTCAAATCCTGCAACTGCTGTTCGGCATTTGGGGATCAAAGTCCCGTGAGGCACCGCTGTCAGATAGAACTGAAGGGGCCCCAGGACACACACAAATAAATACACACAAATAATAAGATTCCCCATATTTTCCTACATTTTCTGGGTTTTCGGCTTCCCCCGCCCACTTCCCATATTTTCCAATATTTTCTGGGGGATCGAGGATTACTTGTGTCTGTGTGTTTCTTTTCCTCCTGAAGAACAGATTTCAAAGCAATCGGGAAGGAGTGGGCGTGAGGGGTCAGATGTCAGATGCGGCACGAGCGCACCCAGCTTGCCCTCCACCCCCAATCCCTCTCCCGTTGCGGGCGGCCCGCGCCTGCTTCTTGGCCTTGTGGCACCGGAGGGACATCGGAAGCCTCCGCTCCCACTGCCCGTGCCGTCCCGCCCAAATCAAGAGGCAGGCATTGTCCCAGACCTCCGACGTCGTGGACAGAGTCGAGGAGCGCCGGGTCTGGCCAAGGATGTCGACCAGCAGGGGGGAGGTGCGTGGGCCGCATCCCTCACACTCCGCTCCTCTGTGCGAAGTCAGCTTCAAATGCTTCCCCATCTCCTGCAAAATTGTACCACGCTCCACCCGCCTTCCCCCCGCCGCCCCCCTCGCCGCCCACCCACCCTCCTGGGACGCGGGACGTACCAATGCTGTGCGCCCCCTTGGAGGCGCACGTCCGGACCGGACAAGAAGTACAAACCTATCCGCCGAGCCTGCTGGCGTGTGGAAGACGCTCTCCCGTTCGACGTCGTCGTCGTCGTCGTCGTCGCCGTCGCCGTCGCCGTCGCCGTCGCCGTCGCCGTCGCCGCACCCCCTCGTCGTCGTCGTCGTCGCCGTCGCCGCTCCCCCCGGCCCATGGTCAGAATACCATTCCCCCAGAGTGGTCCCAGGGCCCAAAAAACCCGAAGACTGGCAAACAGTGCTCATAGAGGCCTCCAAGACGGTCCAAGAAGGCCGCGAATCGCCAAATTATCCAGCCCATACGCCACATATGGCCTCCAGACGGTCCAAGGCCTGCACGACCACCCCAAGATCGCCCCAAGATAGCCCCAAGAGGGCCCCGAATCGACCCAAGAGAGTCCCCAGACAGCCCAAGAGGCCTCCAAGACGGCCCAAAAGGCCACCAAGACGGCTCCCAGAGCGTGCCCAGACAGGGGACTTGAGCAGAGCTTTGGAACCTTCGGCCCCAGAGCCTCCTAGGAGACCCCAAGAGATCCTCAGAGGCCCCCCAAGAGGCCCCTACAGGCCCCAAAGAGGCCCCCAGGAAGACCCAAGAGGCCCTCAGGAGGCTCCCAAGAGACCCCCAAGAGGCTCCAGAGGACCCAAGAGCCCCCCCCCCTCGTTCACCTGTTCCATCTACCTGTCCTCCTCGCATACAGGGTCGGCGGCACCCGCCGTAAGACCTTCACACTATCACTGCCTGGGCGGCCCAGCCAGAAAGAGCCTGCCACCGAGAACACACTGTAACATGTCTTAGCGCGAGCATCACCACCTGTGGGACCGACGCACACATAGTACAAGCATGCTTGGACAACTTTGCCCTCGTCGCACCGCATGCTGCGGCGGCCGTCGCGCCGCCGCCAGACCGCTGAACCTCGCAGACCTCGATGCTGACGCCGCGCCAGCGAGAACCCCATCGTGCCTCGAGGTCGGCCGCCGTCGGCATCGACGGCCTGCAACCGCGCACCGAGACGTCCACCCTCCCTGGAGGGGAAGAGAAAGGGGACCATGATCAAGACTGAACGTGGAGGCGTCTGTGTCGATCTTGGCCATCGTCCAGTGCCCGCGAATGGGCGACGGCCGGCATGGACCATGGCTGCGCCGCCAGAATATGGCAGGCGGTGTAGTGGCCAAGATCGGCGCCGACAAAATCCCGCGACAGCTTGCTCGTGATCAGCGTGCCTCTTTTCTCTAGTCCGCCCTTCCCGTGACTTTTCTCACAGCGTTGGTCAGCCGGAGCTCTCGAAATAGTCGCTGATGGATGGCATCGACGTCGACCCTCCTCCTCCTAATCATCCTCCTCCTCCTCCCACTCCTCCCCCTCCTCCCTGCACCCTGCTCCCAGCTCCTCCTCTTTCTCCTCCTCCCCATAGTCTGGCAGCACCGCCCGCAAGATTCTCCCCCCTGAGGCTCCCGGAAATATCCGGAGGCCCCCAAAGGTTGCACACATAATACCCGAAATGGACCCGCGGACTTGGTCCTCAATCCTCGAAACTATACCTATTCGGTCCTCTTGGCGATCCCCCTCGACCCAGCCCCCCTCGCGCCAGAACCTGTATTTTCGTTCCTCGTCGTCCCCCTGGTCCTGGTCCTGGCCCTCGAGCCAGCCTTCCCCCCTGGTCTTGGCCCCAGCCCCCCTCGCCCCGCTGGCCCTGTCCCTGGACCCAACCTCCCCCCCTGGCCCAGCCTCGAAGAATCTACCGCGCCTCAGCTGACAAGAAATTCATTCGAGCAGGTCCCAATCGACAACCGCTGATTCAGCACCTGGGCGCCCTGGCCCCACCTGCCCCTCCCCTCCTCCTCCTCCTCCTCCCTCCTCCTCCTCCAACCTCCTCCTCCTCCTCCTCCTCCTCCTCCTCCTCCTCCTCCTCCTCCTCCATTTGTTCCTTATAAGTAACTTCTCCCTGTCGCACCCCGAGGCGAGCTTTCAGGGCGTGCCGGGAGTTTCGCCTGAGAGTTTCTCACCGCTAATGACTCTGAGAGTTGAAAATTGACAACCCTTTCACAGATAGGGGGCGGGTGGTTTTCAGGATGTGGCTCTCGCCTTAGCGACCGACGCGCACAGTCGTTCTAGAAAATCGCACGAGCTTCACGGATTGAGGATAATCCGTCTTCAAAATGTGGCTCTCGCCTTCGCGCCGTGCACATTCGTTCTAAAAAACTGTAAGAGCTTCACGGATTAAGGATAACCCGTATTCAAAATGTGGCTCTCACCTTAGCGCCGCGCACATTGGTTCTAACAAATCGCGCGAGCTTCACGGATTGAGAGCGGTTCCTTTTCAATATGTGGTTCTCGCCGTCTCGCCGCGCACATTCGGTCTAACAAGTTGTAAAGAGTTGTGCGGATTCCAGCGATCAACGTAGCAGAAATGGTTTTGGAGGGATTCCGAATTTTGCAGGTGCAATAGTTACGTTGGTGTGCGGTGTTGAAATTACAAGAAGGGCGTTCTGGTACGATCCAGGATCGTCAAGACGCAACAGTCAGGTTGATCCGTGGCGCTGGAATCCCGAGAACCATGTTTTAGCATGCTTCTGGGTTTTCAAACGGTTGTCCTCAACGAGGTAGATCCCTCGATGGAAATGACCATTGTAGGGGCCTATGAAGAGGGAGCTTGGAGGGTTGATGGCTGTTCGTTTTACACTGGTCCTCCTCCTCCCCCTTGTCTCCTCGATCCCCACACTGCGCCGCCTCCCCCTTCTCTCCTCAAATGTGCAAGAGCCAGAGCACGCGCGTCACTTGTCCCACCATCCCGCTGGGCGGAGGTGGTCTAGCGCGTTTCCTCTTCCATTTTCCCTTTTCCTCTTCGGAAAGGGGTTGATCACTTCTCCTTATTGATATAACCCCCTCCCCCACCTGACCGACGACAAACCCGGGACCATGCGCGCTCCTGCCCCCCCCACCACCCCTGGCAACAAGCAATGCCCAATGCACTCTGAGGCCAAATCTTGGGTCATATTCTGGGATCCCGCGAGCGGTTTGTACTATTTTTGCGACAGGGGCGGCGGGGGTGCCCGCAGATAACCTGATGTGCGCAGGGCAACCATCCCTGACATAAACACGATGGAAACTGCACTGCGCAGCTAAGTCTGGATCGTGCGCGGGCACCCCGCGATCGCTGTGCAATGGTTTTCAAAAGGACGGGGGGGGGCTGGCATGTTGCCTGATGCGTGCAGGCCCACCGGACAACATGATGGCCACTCCACAACGATTGTGCATTGGCTTTCGTAGGGGCCACCTAGATGGGGTCGGACTAGATGGGGTCGGACTAGATGGGGTCGGAGGATCGGGCCGCATCGCCGATACATCGTCGCTGCATCGGCGATGCATCGGCGATGCACCCGCGACGCATCGTCGACGTCGAGGATGCATCGGCGACGTCGACGTGAAACTAATCGGGCTCCACATCGAGCCGCGTCGGCGATGCATCGGCAATGCACCGGCGATGCGGCGTGATCCTCCGACCCCATCTACTCCGACCACAACTAGGAGGCCCAGATTTCGACACTGTTGGTGGGGGGCGACATGTTCCCCGATGTGCGCGGGCGCACCTGGCACACTCTGCGCGTGCCCCGAACGTGGCGCAGCTTGCGCGGCTGGAGCACGCAGCACACTTGGCGCACGTGGGGCACGCGACGCCCCCGACGCACCAGGCAGGCGTGGCACGCCTGGGGCCAAGGGGCGCACGGCGCGCCCGGTGCGCGTGGCGCGCATGGCACGCGCGGCGCACTTCGCCCCAGCGTCGCGCACCTGGGGTCTGCCCATTCCATGAGGGCCGCCGACTGTGCTAAAACTCGGGTGTTGCTTCTAACTTGGGCGGACGACTGGGAATGGGCCAAATACTCGAGTCCGGGAAGTGTCTTGACCACTCCGCCTGCCCCTCGCCTGGACCTGGACGGGGCGAACCGCGGCTACTTGGAGCGCTGTTGTGGGCCCAAGCTGGCTCCAAGACGGCCTCAAAAAGCTCAGTATGCCCTTCAAGCTCAAAGCGGCTCAAGATAGCTCTGGATGGCGTACAACATGCTTGCAAAGGTCTCAAGACCGCCACAAGACGGCTCCAAGTGGCCACGGAGCCTCCCAAGTAAGCCGCGAAGAAGCCCAAATACTTCCAAAACCTAGGAATCATCAAAGATGTTTGCCTTATCGCTTTTTCGCTTCCGATGGTCCTCCGAGGCCTCAGGATGATCCCAAAAGAACCCAAAAGAGCTCCAAGGGGAGCTACGGAGTGCACCAAAACGGCTCCAAGTGCGTCCAGGAGCGCCCCAAGAGCGCTCCAAGAGGGATCCAAGAGACGATTTCAAGGAGTCTAGAGGGCGGCGCTAGTCAAAGCACACCTCGTCTTTGATCGATCTCCTCCAAGATGGCTCCAGAACGGTCCAGGTTGGCTGAAGATCGCCAACAACATGCCTCCAAGAAGCCCCGAGATGGCGCTAAGACGGCCCCCAGTGGCTTCCCGGTCTCCCAAGACCGCCTGGGCGTCGTTGCTGGATGGGCTGGTGGGGAATTTTGATCGCAAGCGCACCGGCAAACGCCGGACGCCGTCCAAGAGTCGTAGCTAGCGGGCTACGAACGAACTGCGCAACAGGAGGGGGGAGGGGAGGCAACGAGAGGACAGTGGAGGGAGGAACAAACAGGAGGCGAGCCCTCGCTGCCGCTCAGAGGGCGCCGTCGACTGGGGGGGGAAGCCGCCAGGCGGAGTGCAACGCCGAAATGGCGGGGAATTCTGATTGGGCGACACCGCGAGCGTGCTGAAGTCAGTGACCACCGGCTCGTAGACGCACCACGAGGAGCAAGCGCCAGGACCAACGGTCGCTTCGTCACACGGTTAACGGGCGTATCACACGCGCCGTCAGGCCTCGACCAACTCACGTGCAGGCGCTCAACAGACCAAGGTCCGGATCGCCAGACCTCGGCCCTCCCGTGCCGTGCAGCCGCCGGCGCCGCGACAACGACAAAAGCAAATTACCGTTGTACCACTAGCTTTCTCTATCATAATTAACCCGGCTATTATAATGGCTGCGATTGTCACTACTCCTACTATTCTAAGCTCCCCGCGCTCTGGCGGACCCGCCCCCTCCTCTGCGGGCCGGTCACAGCGCGGAGAGCCAGGGCTGCGGAAGAAGTAGGAGGAGGAAGAGTTCGAGGAGGAGGAGGAGGAGGGGGAAGAGAAGGAGGAGGAGGAAGACGAGCTGGGAACAACAGCACGAGAGATCAGGAGCAGCAGAAGGCTCCCCCCCCGAGAGATCTGACGCTGCAAACCCCCCAGGCGCACCTCAAGATCCCCGCGGGGCACCGGTCGCCGCACTCCTCCTGGCCGCCCCCTGGCCAGCGGGCGCGGCGCGCGCGGGGCATGCGGGGTGGGGGAAGGGAAGGGGGAGGGAGGAGCATTCGGCACCAAGCACTGGTCCAGGGGTGAGGGGAGGAGGAAAGAGGAAGAGGAGAGGGTGGAGGATGAGGAATAAGAATAAGAAACGAATAACAATTAAAAAAACCTAAATAACTAACTAAGCAACTACCTAACTAACTAACTAACCAAGCAAACAAGCAAACAAGCAAACTAACAGACAGACAGACAAACGGACAAAAAGGCAGACAAACAATGGAGAAAAAGCATCGGCAGCGTTCGCTCTGAACTCTGATGCCATCAGTGCGCAGAAGGAGGGGGAGGGGGAGGGAGGGAAGGAGGGAGGAGGGAGGGAAGGAGGGAGAACGTGAGAACAGGAAGAACAAAAAACATGACGACGACGGATGGGGAGGAGGAAGACAACGACGACGAGCAGGAGGGAGAATCATGAGGAGAAGGGAGAAGGAGGAGGAGGAGGAGGAGGAGAAAGAGGAGGAGGAGGAGGAGGAGGAGGAGGAGGAGAAAGAGGGGGAGCAGGTGGAGGAGGAGGAGGGGGGGAGGACCAGAGCAAACACAGCATGCATCAGCGGGACTGCAAGCACACCCTCCCGGCCCGGGCTTCTCTCGCTGCAGGAGGGGCCGCGTCCGAAGACGAGCACCCCGTGGGCCTGCCAGTCGCGCAGGAGCCCAGTGTTGAGAAGGAGCTGGCATGGATCCCAAGAGGCCCCCTAGATGCCCCCAAGATGCCTCCAAGAGGCTCAAGACCCCCCAAGAGGCCCGAAGAGGCTCCCCTGATGCACCCAAGACGCTTCAAGAGGCCCCCAGGACCGCCACGAGGCCCCCAAGAGGCCCCAAGAGGCCTACAAGAAGCTCTCAAGAGACATCCGAAGAGACTCCGAGAAGCATCTAAGAGACCTCTGGCCTTTAAGCTCGCCCTCCTCCTCCTCCGCCTTGCTGGTGCACTATGAGAAAGGTTGAACGGTAAAGTTCCACGAAGTCTCAAGCGAGAGGCTCGCTCTGAAAAGGGACCACTCCCCGATCGAGCGGCTCTTGCACAGGTCAGTCCGGCTGGCCACAAGCCCGATTCTGAAAACGAGTCGACCTCCATCCTCGTCGCTGCTGCAAGTGCTTCAGACGATTGTGCGCGGCGCTGCGGCGAGAACCTCATGTTGAAACCACCAGCCTCCCACACCTGTAACTGTTGCAACGTGTGGCGCTACGCGAGAGCCCCATGTTGGAAACCGCTGGCGCTCAATATGTTGCACAAGCTTGTAACACGGATGCGCGCGGCGCTTAGGCGAGAACCCCATTCTGAAAACCACTGGTCCTCCATCGCTGTGATAGCTACCAACGGATAAAAAACAATGTGCGCGGCGCTGAGGCGAGAGCCCAGTTTTGAAAACCACCAGCGCTCCGTCCATTTCACTGCTGCAGATTACAAGCATCAGGATAACCCGCCAGCGTCCCTCGAGGCACGAAGTAAGATGTCCCCAGGTCCCTTCGAACATCTAGCATTCAGCACTGCGATTGCCTTAAAGAGCCAGGCTCCCAGTTGCCGGATGTCTGGGGCGCTCTCGATTCGGCTCGCGTGACTACTCCAAAAAAAAGCCCCCAGACAGGCCCAGAGGGCCCCCAGATGCCCCGAAGACGGTCCAAAGGGGCCCCCGAGTCGCCCAAAGATCGCCCCAAGCCGCCCGAGATGGCCTCCAGACGGCCCAAGAGGCCCCCAAGACGCCACAAGAAGGCTCCAACAGGCCGCCCGAGAGGGCATCAAGAGGCCCGGATCACTGATGTTGCTATGGTTCTTTGAATGACTTGTTCGCTCTTGTCTTTTCGAGCTTTCGACGCTCCAAGACAACCCAAGAGGCTCCCGATACCGTCCCAAGACGGACCCAGAGGCCCCCCAAAAAGGGCCTCCACACGGCCCCAGCGGGACGGCGCAAGGCCCCCAAGATGGCCCAGGAGTGCCTCACGCAGGACCCAACATGCAAACAGAAATTTCGCGCCCTCCGCCCCAAGATGGCCCCCGAGCTGGATTGCCACTCTGACCGACACTCGGCGCCCCCGCGGGCGGCCAGGGCCCTGTCGTCGCCTCCGAGACGGGGCTGCCTGCTGGGCAGGCACGCGTGGAGAGCAGCACCGGCGCATGCGTGGACGTGTATGTCTGACTGTCTGTCTGTATGTTTGCCTGTATATGTGCATGCATGCATGCATGCATGTTGGTTTGCGTGCATCCATGTATACATATATATATATATATGTATACATATAAATATAATTATATATATGTGTATATGTATGTGTATATAAACACACAGACATACATACAGACATATATATGTGTATATATATATGTATGTGTGCGTGTGTGTGTGAATTTACGGCCCTGGAGCGCCCCAAAACGTCCCTAAGTGGAGAGCAGCACCGGCGCATGCGTGGACGTCGATCCATCAGCTAGCCCCCCCGAGAGGCCCAGATCAAGCACTCGGAGGCCCCCTCGACCCGAGACGGTACAGGACACCCACGTGGCTTCCGAGAGGCCTTCCACGAGATCCTCACCGGCATCCGAAAGGGCGGCGGGATGGGCCGAAGGCCGCCAGTAAATTGCAAGGAGGTCCAAAGCGAGACGCCTGGGACGGCCCGCGGACACGTCTGGTGGTGCGCCAGGGGAGAACGACTTGCAAGGGCACCGCGTGGGAGCAGAGGGAGGCGGAGGCGGCGGAGGACGGAGGCGAGGACAGGGGACGGGGATGTGGGCGCCGCGCCCCTGGCCAGGAAAGGAGTGCGAGGGGAGGAGCGGGCCGAAGACAGAGGCCTCCTAGATGGAGTCCGAGTAGACGGGGTCGGAGGATCGCGCCGCCGCATCACGGAACATCCCTGATGCATCGGCAATGTGTCGGCGACGTCGGCTATGCATCCGCGACGTCGGCGTGGGGAAAACCAGGCGCCACATGGAGCAGCGTCGCCGATGCATCGGCGCTGCGGCGCGATCCTCCGACCGAACCAACTCCGACCCCATTTGGGAGGCCCCGAGAAGAGCGGAGGGGGAGGAGGGAGATTCGAGGACTGAACGTGGGCCGAGGGCTTCGGGAACTGCGTTTCTGGCAGCTCTCTGCCCAGGCCTCCCGAGGCCTGCGCAGACGGAGGGCCGGCCCTCCGACGTCGTGGCTGTTCCAGTGCCGGCGGCTTCTTCTCCACGTTCCTGGCGAGGGGGTCAAGATGCCCAGGTCAAGAGCTGCCACATCCAGCAATAAGCTCCACACATACCCACTGCTCCGTGGCCAGGCCCATCCTGAACCCAACAGCGGTGTATACGCCCTCCTACCCTACACCGCTGCTCGGTTCAGGATGAGCCTGGCCAGGGAGCAGTGGATATGTATAGAGTTCGCCGCCCAACTCAAGGCGCCCCTGGTCCAAGGTGCCCCCCGTTTTTCGCTCGATTTTGGAAACCCTGTGGGGCCCCCTCGTGCGGGGTGCCGGGGGACCCTGGGCACCCTGGGCCACGGGCGTTTCTAGCTTTCCTGGTCCCGCTCCCTCTCCCGGCCGCGCCGGTGCCCCTTCCTCTCGCTCACTCCTCCGCCTCGTCGGCTGCCCTCCTCCCCCTTTTCCTCGTACTCCCTGGAAGTTAGAGGGCAAGGAGGAGAAGCAGAGACAATGAGGGGGAGGAGGAGGAGGAGGAGGAGGAGGAGGAGGAGGAGGAGGAGGAGGAGGAGGAGGAGGAGGCCAAGAAAGAAAAACATTGAGCAGGGAGGAGGCCAGATGGAGGAGGCTGGAGGAGGAGAAAGGAGGGAGGAAAGGGGAGGAAAGAAAGCGGCAGGATGGAGCGGGGAAGAAGCGGAGACAAAAACGCTAATGGAAGCAAGAAGAAGGACCAGAAGGAGCGAGCGAGGATCATCGGAGGTTCTGGGGGGGGGGGGGAGTTTTTCAGGCTGTCCACCCCTTCCGCCCCCCCGAATCCCCCCCCATCCCCCTCATTCCTCCCGATCCCATTATGCCAGTACTCCTCCCACCTTGGGAGGGGCCTCGGGAACTCTCCTGAAACCTTCAGAGGCGTCCAAGAATTCCCTGGAAGCCAACGACAGCAGTCAAAATGCACACACACACACACACACACACACACACACAAACTTCTTGCGTCGGCGGCTGGGCAGGGGGCGACTGCTCCGGCGGAGTGACAACAGGGGGCACGCTGTATGCAAATCAAGGCCGCGGTGCATGGAAGGAGGACGAGGAGCCCCAGCGCGACAGGAAGAGAGGAAACCCAGCCACTCAGAGCTGCCGGCCGCGGCGGGGGAGCGCCGAGGGCCACCCCGGGGGCAGCATCGCCGACACGGCCGCCTCGCTCGCACCGTCGGGCCGCCCCTCCTTGAGATGAGCCAGCAGGGCCGACCCAGATAACTATTCGGAACCTCTGAGGCGACCTCCTGCACCTGCGGTTGCCTGATCTGGTTCGTCCTGGATGTCTTGTCCAAACTCACGAAAACCTCCACGCCAGCGATCTCTGCCCAGGGGTTGCCAAAGGCGCTGAGCACGGCGTGCTGCGGCGCACCGGAGCCACCGTCGCCCTCGGACCCTTGCGACGCCAATGAGGCCTGGGCGTCCTTTTTCGGCTGCGCCGCGGGCGCCACCGCGACGGCGGTGGCCCGGCCAGCGGCGGTGGCCTGCGTTCCCGCCGACAGCGCCAGGGCCGCAGTAGCGCCCAAAGGTGTGCCGAAGCTCTGCAGCATCGACCGAAGCACTGCCACAGGGCGTCCAGGACGGGAGCGGTCATGGCATGGCTGTCGCCTGCACCAGCCATGGCCCTGCCGGGGGGCGGGGACACTGGCGGGGCGGCAAAGGCTCGCCCCACCCATCGCACCCCCGCACCCCCTGACCGCGCGCGGAGCGCTGCGGAGCTTGAACCAAAATGGCTTGGCTACGCACACCCACACACGTCCACACACACACACACAAACACTTTTATGTATGAGTAGATAG